GAATTTTTCCATTAGAACAGAATATCTGGAAACTCTGGATCTAGGGTTCTTTTTTCCCGATCGATTTTGGTGGTTTTGTTACTCAGTCTAGGGTTTTTCTAGGGTTTCGATATTTGGGGTTTCTCCAATTGCAGTCGAGGAAGGTCATCTCTTCGTCGGGGATTTTGATTTTGATCCCGAGGATTTTCTTAGACGGGAAGAAGGGAGCGAGCTTTGACCAATTGCAGTCGAGTTTTTTGGTAAGTTCGTGTAATTCATAGGATTGATTTGGTAAATCGCATCGTTGTGATTCTTTTCCGGCCAATTTTCCGGTCTTGAGGTGAGTAATTTGAAAGTAAGGATTGATTACTGGAAATTGCCAAGGGGTTAGTATAGATTCATTTTCGAAGCATATATACCTGCAAGATTTTTGGAGCAGGGGCATTAGAGCATACTAGCTAGTCTCTTTTAGTTCGTTCCAGATTCTTACTACATGAAGGGATTTGCGTGGCAGAAGGGAACCCAAAAGAATTTGTCTTTGTGAGATGGGTAAAGCACGGAAACACTCTAGAGGGATATCATCGGGATTTGTTCCTGATTATAGGCAAGCTGTTGAGACCATGGTTGAGCCTGATGAATTTGGTTACTCATGGGGATTCGACAATGAGATAGAGGAGTCCCCTGCACTGAAAAGGAGTCGTTTTAGTTTAAATGGGGATAGCTATGGTGTTCATAGAGAGGTTTTGTCGTTGTCAAGGATATCGAGGTCTGAGAGAAAGAATTTACTTCACAAGTTGAAGATGGAGCTTCAACAGGTCAAGGACCTTCGTAAGAAGATTGCATGTATTAGTTCAGACACTGTTCTGTTGTCGCCATATAGCGATATTCATAGCTGCAGTGATGGGCCTAGGAGGTCGCCACAAAAAACTTTTGTTAATACGCAAGGGAAAAAGCGCCATCCTGTGCGCAATGATAAGCAGCGGACTAAGAAAGGCCCATCTCGAAATTTTGAGTCTGCAAGATTACACGCCCCAACAAGCTCTACATTTGCTTCAGTGATGAAGGAGTGTCAGACGTTACTCGATCGAGTATGGTCACATAAGTGGGGGTTTGCATTTCGTACTCCAGTTGATCCAGTTTTGTTGAATATTCCAGACTATTTTACTGTGATTAAGCACCCAATGGATCTTGGAACGATACGAAGCAGACTGCGTAAAGATGAATACGCTAGTCCTTTGGACTTCGCAGCACATGTGCGTCTTACATTTTCAAATTCTATAGCTTACAACCCACCAGGAAATCAATACCATAAAATGGCTCAAGATCTCAGCACATATTTTGAGTCGAGATGGAAAACTATAGAGAAAAAAATACCTGTGATTGAACCACCAGTCATGCACTTAACCAGTTCTGCTTCTCTGGAGTCAGAAATCCCTTATGAAGTAGTATCGCCACGAAAGAAAGCAGCTCCAGTGAACGAGACTACGCTGAGGGTGGAACCTGCTAAGTTGGTCATGACAAATGGTGAGAAGAAAAAATTAAGCGAAGATTTGGAGGCGTTAGAAGAAGAGTTCCCACAAAACATTATTGATCTTCTCAGAGAGCAAAGTGGCTATGATGGTCAATCTGGAGAAGTTGAGATTGAGATAGATATAGAAACACTTTCTGATGAAATCTTGTTCATGGTTCGAAAACTCCTGGATGACTATCTAAGGGAGAAAAAGAAATCCCAGGAAAAGAGTGAACCTTGCGAGATGGAGGTATAGAATCTCTCTCTGATTAGTTTTTAGTGATTGTTTGTGTGTTCTAGAAAATGTTGACATCTGACTTTCGGATTAACTTTTCTGTCGCAGATTGTTCATGACTCTGGATTCAGTAATTCCCCTCTGCAGCCTAGTAAAGGTAAGTTTTTGCTATTTGGTTTTATATCGAAAATCATTTCTTTCGGTAGTCTGATGTATTTTTAATCGCAGGTGATCTGCTAATTGACGAAGATGTTGACATAGTTGGTGGGAATGATCCCCCTGTTTCAAGCCATCCTCCGCTTAAGATAGAAAAAGATGTTGCACGCAGAAATAATGAATGCAGCAGTTCGAGTAGCTCCAGTAGTGAATCAGGCTCTTCATCTAGTGGTTCGCGAGCCTTCTTCTATTTCCTTAGATAATCATTTTTTTTCTTTTTCTTAGATTGTGCATTGATTTGTACAGTATGTAAGAATAGCTAAGATTGGAAATAAAGTAACTTTTCTCTTAGATTCATTGCTCTTATCTTGGAATGATTAGTATTTGACTTCTGAGTCAGGTTTGGAATGTGAGCCTGCTATCTGTCTTTTTCGTTTCTATCTTTTGATGGTCATTAGACCTGTGGTAATTTTGTGGTGGGTCTCAGTGTAAAACTGAAAACTCTATACTTTTTCTCTGCTCTTCTATACAGAGGATATTGTAGTTAGTTTCTGTGGTTTATTAGTTGATGACAAAGGAATTATTTCTTACTTTGTGTTGTGGTGAATTCTAGAATTGGTTTTTGTTTAGTATTTCCCCTTAGGAAGAGCTTTTTTTATACTGATGTTTTCTGTGGTTGTCTTTCAGATTCTGGTTCTTGTAGTTCCTCTGGGAGTGAAAAAGATTCCATTAAAGCTTCGAATCCTACTAGTACAGAGGTATATCTGATAGTGGAATAACATCTGTTATTGAGTGTTTGTGTTTGTATGTTGTTGTAATGTCTGCGACACTCCTTAATTTACTTTCTGCAACATTATAATGACTTCTTGCAATCAAAGAAGTGAAATTTAATACCAAAGAATAAGTGTAGTCTTCTGCTTAATTTAGGGAAAAAAGGAACCAGGAGTTTGTATAAACAGAAAGGATGATGATAGCAATGGTGAAAAGATTGTTGTAAATGGTTAGTCTCTTTTCAATTGATGCATGCAACTTGGAGTGCTTGGATGAAGTCTTCCCGAAACTTATTCTTTGTTCTCTGTAGATTCTTTGAATGAATTGGGTCGAGTTGAGCAAGATGTTGGGGAAAAGTCAACCACCATGGATGCAGTAGATGTCCTTCCAGTTCCAGATGGTAAGAAATTAAAGTTAAGGAAGGTTGGAAGATGGTAATAGCCGTTTATTTTAGGATCATGATTTTACCTGTCATGCTTTGGCTATTATAGAGGAGACTGCTCCACCTGAGAGGCAAATCTCCCCAGAAAAGCGTTACCGCGCGGCTCTGTTGAAGAATCGTTTTGCTGATACCATTATGAAAGCTCGAGAGAAGGCACTTAACAAGGTTGAATTTCTAAGTGTCTGATCCACTTATGACGAAAAAGCTTGTCTGAATGTCTGGAAAGGTTAAATCAAAATTTTTGATGCATTTTTTCAGGGTGAAAAAGGAGATCCTGAAAAACTGAGGATAGAAAGAGAGGAGTTTGAAAAACGGCTAAGGGAAGGTTGGATTGTAGTGCATCGAGTGTGCTTATGCTCATAATTCCTAAAATTATTGCTTATTGTTAGTTCTTGTGATTTCCTTCTGATTAGAAAAAGTACGGTTACAAGCCGAGGCCAAAGCAGCTGAGGAGGCTAGGAGAAAAGCCGAAGCAGAAGCTGCAGAAAAAGCAAGGAGGGAAAGAGAGCAAGAGAGAGAAGCTGCACGACAAGCTTTACAAAAGGTAGAAAAGACTTTAAGTTTCTCTTTGATGCTTCAGAGCCCTATTATTGTGTACAATCATGCTAAATGGCTTTTCTGGATGGTTGCAGATGGAAAAGACTGTGGAGATAAATGAGGGTAGGCGGTTTATGGAAGACCTGGAGATGCTTAGAGCTACAGGTGCCGAGGATGATCAGTTACCGACTTTCATGGAAGAGATGAGCCCCAAATGTAGTCAGGATATGTTGGGTAGTTTTAAGATGGAAGGAAAGAGTAATCCATTAGAACAGCTAGGTCTGTAC